ATTCTGTGTATATTTACTGAGGAACCATCTAGTATTCCTATATTTCGACATCGCGGTCTGCATTATTGACGTTAGAGAGTCAACAGTATTGTTAGGTCTCGCACATGGTAACATCCATCTAAAGCAAATGTTCCGTGAATTCCTGGCGCATTAACAATGAGACGATTGCATATTATACACACGTGCCTTGACACTTTAAATGTGTACAATTAAAGAACGTACGTGCGCATGCGTTACGAAACAGTGCAAAAGCACAAATAATTATTTGTATGAACAGCAAAGGTATAAATATCAAATATTTTCCAACAGCCAATTTCAAAGATAAGAGGGTGCACGAAATCCGTAGCATGTTTTCTGGCTTCGATTTTTGATCGCATCTGCTATAACACACTGTGTGCATAAAGGCTCGAGTGGTCCAAAGTAGAAGTGTTACCTAGGTCATATATTAATTAGTAGAAATAGATTCAAGCCTCTACTCCATTCATAATTATGAATATATGTATGAGAAGGATTAATACAGAGTCATTGCTGGTCACAAAAACCTTGTCACGCCAAAATACAAGTGAAGTTGCATCTCAATAAGTGTCAAATAATGCACAAAGCACCATATCAGCGTTGCTGCTGCTGCTGCTGCTGTTGCTGCTGCAAATCCTGCTGGTGTTGATGATACTAAATTCTAACCTGCTGCAGGTCTCCTTACTTAATAAAACGTGTTAAAAATGTAAATTCCAAGGTAATATAAGAAAATTGGGGTTTCTTTGTTAGCAGGCCCTAATTATAGGTACCTGATACTACAGTTCCTACAGTGCATGTTTAAGATTATTGATTTAAAGCATACAGCAATGAAATACACGTCTGATATTTAAAATACCAACAAAACACTAGATTATGGGCAACAACGTTTATTTATCATACTAAACTTTGGGACAAGAATTCACGTGGAGAATATTCAACGGCCTAATATGGAAAAACACTCAAAATGAACTCAATACCTCTTGTTTTACAGGTAAATAATATCCCTTCATGGCAGCATTTTAACAACACATGTCAGACACCAGGACGAAACAACATTAAATGTGTCTTTATTCCTCACCCTACGGTAAACTGTGGAGTTGGTTTTATCAGTAGCACGCTCATTAAAGTGTGCCTGAAAAGGCTTCTTTTCAAAACGTAATTATAGCACTCGACCAATTAGTTACAGCCATGCTTTGCATTTCACATTAATTAATTACAGTCTATAAAAGCACTAGAGATAAATGGGCTGCAAGCTCATAGCTCCTCCTCATCTGGTGGGATGCCTAATTCCTCATCCGTCCATTTGGCTGGATCTGGGATCGTGTGGTGGCCCTGTATAATATATGAAGCAACAAAAGCCAATATAAAGCCAGCATTCTTCTAAATATATTTGATTTCCTTTCCATATTCTGAAAGCGTACGTATACCTGGTAACAATCATAGGAACACAGTGAAAGAGCGAGTGAGAGTGAGAAGACAGGTGAAAGAAATGAGAGGAGAGAGAGAGAGAAGGAAAGAGAGAAGAAAGGAGAGAGTGCGAGGAGAAAGAGAGAGAGAGAGAGATGGAGATAGAGAGAAGGGTGCGAGAAGGGAGGTGAAACAGAGAGGAGCACAACAGAGCGCAAAAGAAAATGAAAGAGAGATGAAGCTGATTTATGCTGCTCAATTTACTTCAACTCTCATCTGGAATTCCCAGAATTCTCAAACAAACTGACAAGCTACACATTTGACCAAATTTCACCTACAGCCCTGGCCCCTGAATGTATGAAAGTATCAGTCTAACAGCATGCGTTCAGTGACTGAAGGCTATTGTTTTATGTTGGTGGAACAAACGTAGTGATCAATCATAGCGCATTAAGCAGTATATGCCTAGTAGTTAAGGGCCATAAAATGTCAAGATAAAAACATAAATCTGAAATATTGGCTGTTAATGGCTAAAAATACTTCCTTGAGTTGGCACTTAAGTTTGATGTCAAAGCTCACACTTTAAATTTATTTCTATAGTTACTCAAAGAAAAACGATTAATTATGTAAAAACCTTGATGACTCCTTGACAGGTACAGGTATAACAAAATATCACGCAATGCTGTTGATGCATGCACATTTGGCGCATCACTAGCAGTGCCGGTGTTCTTTAACACAGCATAAAATCTTTGGGCAAATCTTGCAGCAGGGAGGGATTTTAGGCTTACACATGCATGGGAAGAACATGTAAATAATGCAGGACGTCGCCAACGGCGTAGCTCTGGTTGGCTCTACACGTGTAGGCCTTCGCTCCTGCTACATAGGCTAGAATATGTATATAATGATATGTATAATTCAGTATGACTGATAGTGCTTCGAAACGGCAGTAATTATTTGCAGCATGGCAGGCTAAGGTGTACTCCGTGATACACTATAAAAATATGCTGGCTGGCAAGATAAATGTCTTGACTTAGCCTGCCACAACCAAATCAAACTCAATTCACTATAATCTGGCCAGACTGCACCGCTTATCGAACGCAAGTGAACCAATAACACAAATACACGTATATGACAGATTTAAATAGTGACGACACTAGACTTGGAAGGCACCCGTTAGGCCGCTATGCTCCAAAGATTTGCTGCTGTTTCCCACCCGTAGCCCAGGTGGCAGGTAACAAGGTAGAACTGTAAGTGTAAGGGCTACATTAGTAAAGCTAATATCAAGATGAAATCAATACCAAAAATGAATGGACAAACAGGAATCGTTACACCTCTGATCAGAATCTATAAGCCAATGCCATGTGTGGATAATAGAAGTTGTTCTAGCACATGACTTCAGAAAATAACTAAAATCGGCTGTACCTAAAACATAATCGAACCTAAAACAGTCAAATTCCTCAGAGCGGACAAAATTTCACAACTCAGCTGAGTAATGACATTGATAGTACAGAGCTCTTAACAAACACTCACAGTGTGGTAGGAGTTGGCCTAATGTGAAGGTTTCATGATAAATACATGACAATCAGGCTTCGCCGTCTGAGAAAACCACGGTGCCTAAAAAAGGCCCCGTCATTTACCTGACGGGGCTGATTTTCTCTAGACGGGGCTGATTTTTTTTAAACGAATTATGTAATAAAATCTTTGTTACATTCATATATATGTATTGTTTAAAAGTACTATGCTTTCCCTACTGTTTGGTATATATGAATTTATAACAACTGGTGTTCTTTCTCGATTCGACGTTCGTTTTCGATTCTCTGAATCTCAAAATTTGACGGGGCAGAGAAAAAAAGCCCTGTAGACACAGGAGACGGGCTGTTTACGGGGCTTGGCCCGATTGGCCCCATGAAAAGGCGAAGCCTGATGACAATGTACACATATTTTAGGGTCATCTACACCTAAAAGGCTTTTATTGTAATTTTCCTGAAAATCTTATGACACAGCCCTTCCCTTCGAAGCTATGACCCTTTAAAAATAGTTTACAGTTAATAAATGACAAGGTTTACTGGCTACAAATACGTCTACAACTGATAAATGTTTTCAGTAGTTCTACAAATTATAAAAATAGTTATGAGGAAACTTTTATTTTGATCTGCCCTCTCTAACTTTTCTTAATCTATAAACATGACCTGACACCAATTGTGTACATGTATTAAAGGAATTATTTCATAAATAAAGTTCTGCAAGAGAGAAAAATTAAATTTTAAATCATCACTCTAACTTGCCAATTCAATAACATCAAACATAGGATATGAGCTAGCAATGTTTTAAAGACAAAGGATCTACATGGCTGTTCTTTTCGTTTGACTACAGACCTATCCAAATGAAAACCATGAAAACACCTCGTGCCATAGAAGAAGCGGTTTATTCGTAAATTATAGCCGGTAACAGACGGCTACTCCGAAAATCCCCCAACTGCACGTCAGCAACTGTATCCGTGAGTTGGACCTGCATGCTCTTGTTGGCTGATTCCGTTCCGACACTCGAGCCGATCTTCACTCGCCAACGGTCAGAACAAGAAAGGGCGTGGACAATGTGCTTTTGCCGGAACTACCCGAGTACCGAAGGACAATTAGAATTCATTCCCCCTCCCCCAAAATACATTTTTATGTTGCACAACCCCAAACGAACACAAACCATAGACTAAAATGGGTTATCACACAATTATAGTACATATTTTTAATTAAATAGCCTACGAACTTCGGCAGGCTAACGCAATTGAGGGGCCCACTCGTCTGTTATGATCCAGTAACGCCATCTGGCGTGACTAATGCACCGGTTTCACAAATGTGCATACATGTGGTTAGAAATAATAATGTACACAGACACAGTTACTGTCAGTGGAATCGTGTATCGGGGAGAAATACTCATTTTTTCGGAAATAGCCGAACGGTAGTAGGGCGCAACTTCGGGCTTGCTCGGGTCCATAATAGACATGTGTACACACGCATTGTGAACCCTAACCCTAACCCTAAACAGAAAAATGAAAAAATAAAACAAGTGCCGCGGAGCGACAGCGCTCATCTAACATCTACTGAGGTGACTCTGTGGTGGAGTGGTGGGATTCCAGTAAACCCTGTTAGTCTCAAATGTGTTCACATACACGCCAAAACAGAGGAAGGCACAGGGATGGTATCAGGAACCTTCTCAAAGGAATGTTCGATGGGATCGTTATGAAAGTTGCCACGAGATGGCGCGTACGTTTAAGTGTCTTAAGATTAAAGATGGAAGCTCCCATCGTACGTAGTAGCAACAACTATTTGCAAGACAGAATAGGTAAGCACTCATCCATTTACCTACGCAAGCCTACAGGCTGAAATAGAGAGCTGCCACCTGTAACTAATTAACACAGGCAAAAACTACACAGTAATATCACCACCACATGCACTGGCAGTGGCCACTGGCAGTGGCATACGTTACATGTAACACACACTGACAGTACAGAATGCCATAGAAATTATACGATTTAAGGAGCATAAACCTTCTCCAACCAAATTTTGCTTTTATGTGGGGGGGGGGCTTCTAATTGCTACCGAGCGTTATGCAAGGCGAGCGCAATCATGGTAACTAGAAGGTGATGCACACATGCATGGTGGGCATGAGTGCAACTCTACATCAACACCACTGATGGCTTTACAGCGTAGTTGGTTGATGGCGTTACTTTGTATAAGATTCATAAAATTATTTAGTACAGTACATTGCACTGTGTTATTGTCACTACTTCAGCACGGTCCATATAGGGTCTGATGAGTACAGGGTAATATTTTCAGGAGCCACTACGTTTGTAGTCGGCTGTTGATGGCTTGGTTGAAGGGGTTCACCTCCCTCTTTCATTTTTCAGATGACGTTATCGGCCGGCGTTTGTGGTTGCCTTCTATTCTTTTTGATGGCTGCGGAAGTTCGCGGCGAGGCGACACCTATCGGTCATGTTTTGCAAAAAAGGGCGCGCATTTGTGGTCCGAACCTTCCCGCCACTATCCGTCTCGTCTGCAATTCTTACTACAGAAGTCCACCACACAAGCGTTCACGAGCAGACGCAGACCTACTAGATGATCGCTCGACACCCATTTTCGGTACGGGCGCCTCGTGCAGGAAGTATTTCGCCATACTTATCGTGCTCGCTCAGCTTGCCCACTACCGACAATGTAAACAGGAGAATTGCTACACTCCTGACTTGAGTCCTTCATTAAAAGAATTCTTGGCTGGCTGTGTTATGGTTACTAGTTTACTAATAAATACATATCCCTGTCCATATTGATACTATGCAAAGATGTCTAATTGATCTGAAATTGTTTTATTCAGCGTTTAGTACAGACAACAACCCAAACACACGTGGCTTCACCGGAGACGGCACTCCTGAAGGCGATTCCGCGGGGATGATAGACAGCAAACAGTCGCTACCGTCGCCATTCCTTACGCAGATGGCAGCATTGAGCTTTATTAAAGATCTTGGTAGCAAACATCGATTAAAACGGCGTAAGTTTGTGAGTGTGCGTGTGTGCGCGCGCGTAGATGTGCGCGTGTGTGTATAGGTTTGTGCGAGCGTACGTGCATGTATATGTGCGCGTGCGTGTTTTGTGGACGTTCGTGTGCGTGTGTGTGTGTGTGTGTGTGTGTGTGTGTGTGCGTGCGTGTGCACGTACACGTGCGTGCGTGCGTGTACACGTACACAGAATACATGTACATATACGTACTGAACCAACAGCGCACACCGCACTCGAGATTTCATCGATTTTTGTCACAAATGACCCGGTGACCTGTGACGTCACACAACCCCTTGGCTAACTACGAACTGGCTTATACATTGAAAGAAATTGTAGGCAGTCATACCATTTGCTACCGCAATTCTACCTGTCAGACGTGTGTATGCGCTACTCTATTTCAATGCGGCATTGCATGCCTTTTACATCTAACTCGTAATCTAAGTATTCGTGGCGGTTATAGAAGCCGTTACGCGGAAGAGCAGCTTTAATGCGGAACGAAATTCGTCTGCTATATTCTCTCACCTTTAAACTCTTGTTGTTCTCTCGCCTGTAATGCCTGATATTCCCTCGCCCTTAACTCTTGTTGTTCTCTCGCTCGTAACTCTTGTTGTTCGCTCTTATGTTTCTTCTCAACTTCCAATGTTCTCTCGCCGGTAAATCCCTTTGGTTTTCCGCCTATCACGTCTGATGTTCCCCCGCCTCAAAAGTCTATTCTGATTCTTAAATGGTTGCTCAACAGTTAGAACAATTAAATAATCTCACATTTGTTCCTAATGTACAGTCACAACAAGTTTACCGTTATTAAACACTCGCGCGAACATTCACGCTGCATTGATTTATCTCGAGCAATTTATTTCTCGCGATGCATCTGGCCTGAACATCAATAAGGTAACAGGCTTCGCTAGGAGTCGGGTGTACGTTTCATTATTGATACACAGCTAATAGATAGATGTGAGCACTCTAGCGTTAACGCGCTCATGCGCCAACTGCTGGCAGCACTCAATCGATGTCTCAGAGCCAAGATTAGCGTAATTATTCATTTTTAATTATGACTAGTAGCTACCAACGCGGATCGCTTCTTTTCCTGCTGTGATGGTGAGTAAGATAATAATGAGACACTTGTGCAATCGACTGATATTACTTAGATTAGATAGACGACTGAAACTTCGGTTCACTTTAAAGTCATGTGTGCGCGGGTTTGCTTGTACATATGCGTGCGTGTGTGCGTGCGTGTACGTGTGAATGTGCGTGTGCGTATGTGGGCGTTTGCGTTCGTGTGTAAGTACGTACATGCGCGCGCGCGTGTCTGTATGTATATTTGTATGTATGTATGTATGTATATATATATGTATGTATGTATGTATGTATGTATGTATGTATGTATGTTTCCTCTCTCTGTTCCCCCGCCTTTCTCTCTCTCTCTCTCTCCTCTCTCTCTCTCTCTCTCTCTCTCTCTCTCTCTCTCTCTGCTCTCTCTCTCTCTCTCTTCTCTCTCTCTGCTCTCTCTGGGCTCTCTCTGTTCCTCCTCTCTTCCTCTCTCTTCCCCCTCTCTCTTTCTTTCTCTTTCCTCTCTTTCTTCCTCTCTCTCTCTCTCTCTGCTCTCTTGTTCTCTTTCTCTCTCTCTGCTATGCGCTGTTCATGCTCTCTTCCTCTTCCTCTCCTTTCCTCCACTCTTTCTGCTCTCTCTCTCTCTCGGCTCTATCTCTGCTTCTCGCTCTCCTCTCTCTCTCTACTCTCTCTCTTCTATCTCTCTTTCTCTCTCTCCTCTCTCTATCGCTGTTCATCTCTCTTCCTCTCTCTTCTTCCTCACTCTTTCTCTCTCTCTCTCGCTCTCTATCTCGCTCTCGCTCTCTCTCCTCTCTCTCTCTCTCTCTCTCTCTCGCGCTCTCTTTCCTTTTCTCCCAGTCTCGGTCCCCTTCTCTTTTTTTCCTCATATCATCTCTCTCCCACCCCCGCCCCCCACCCCCCCCCCCCTCCTTAAATATTGAAACAGCATGGCAAGGTAAAGCGGAAATAGAACGGTGGGCGAAGGGGGTGTATGTCTGTCTGTCTTGGTCTCTTTCACATTATTTCTCGCCTCTTGTTCTCCTCTCTCATTAGTATCTTTCTCTCTCTCTCTCTCTCTCTCTCTCTCTCTCTCTCTCTATCGTTATCGATCAACTCTCATTGATAATTGTGTCGTTGATATTGCGCATGTAGACATATTCATACATTGCGTGGTGTTAGTAACGTGAGGCTCTTGTATTTAGTTGTTATACCTTTTAATTAAGGTCTTGCACATTATTAACATGATCACTATTGAGCCCGTACATATATCCCATACGCTAATATAACGCAGAATAACCTACTTTCTGACATGTGAGCTTTTACGATGACATGTTATAGGTCCTGCACGATGTACATATAATTGCGATGATGTCTGAAAGCCGCACATTATAATGAATGCTGGCAAGGAAACTCGGATTCTTACGCAAACATATCAATATCGAGCAAGTTCGAATTTCAAATAGAATTTTGCGTGATTGGATTAGTCACCATATTACCACGCCAAGCTTATGCGGAAAGCATCTTTAAAGACATTTAACTCACAATATTGTCTTTGTCGTATATTGGATTATTGATTAGTTACCACACGCAGGCTTATGCGGAAAGCACCTTTAAAGAACATTTAACCTCACAGATATTCGTCTTTGTTCGTATATTCATGATCACGTGCTTAGTTTTTAAAATGTATTCTCTGAATGGTAAATTAAGGTTTCGAGAGCGCGCAATAGTAGGTTTGCAAAGTTTGCTTCGTATGCAACTAGTTGGGTTGCAAACGGGAACGATCTTGAAGGAAAGTTGCAATAGTTAAAATGAATTCACTCGACTTACACTACAAAACCCAACCTTGCAGTGGGCTTACTATGATGATGATGGCGATTATCTTCATCGCATTTAAGCAACGAGGATAGCGCAAGAAACGGTTAATGGTCGGCATTAAAAACCCGTCTCCAATGAATATGCCGTGTCGATAATATGTCGAGCTTGCTACGTTGAGATATAACAATGTAGACGAAAAGTGCACGGAGAGCATAAGCCCATTATCGAAAGTCCCGCCGCCATAGTTAGAGGGCAGACAAGAGAGGGTAATAACTTGCCTAATATATAAATGGTTAGGATAGGACTAATTAGGTTTTTTGATCATAATTCTCTTCACTAACATCGACTTCAATGTCACCGGTGGCGTTTCTGTTTATCAGTAGAAAAAACATTTACCCAATATGATTGGGTCATTTGGGATATTTTGGCAATGTTTGTGTTAATGCACAAAACTAAAAAACGCACGAGTGTTTACATTAATTATTGTACTTTTCCTAAGGGCGCCTCGGCCATTTTATAGCCCCTTTTCTAGAACCTAATACGCACAGCTGACTTTCCGATATCACTTATTGAGAGATCGACGGACGCGCCACAGGGTGTGGCCCAGAGCGTTTTGGATGTAGCAAATAATGAAAGAGGGCGGCGTGGTCCCATAATGACGTAAGCTTTCTGGTTTAACTTGTCCGTGCGTACGCGAGAGCAAGGCACTAAAGATCAGAAGGGAAAGACTCAGCTTGTTGCTTGCGCGTAAAGGTAATAAAGCAGTTATGGCATGTCGCCGGAAATTAATATGGTTCGCTACTGCGATGCACCGTGGATATTACTTACCCTCATTCTGGCGTCCTGTATGGACCAGATGCGGGTTGCGTAGCATGTTCTATTTTTCGCCAAATCATGGACAGGTTACTGTGCGATGTGGAAGGCCTTTTCATGTAATAGGCGGTCCGTCCAATTAATTATGGAAATATATATATACGTGAATTAAGCAGCATTGAAGATCACACAAACTACGGATAATACCGAGCAGCTATAGCCACAGCAGACCTACAAAGAAACAGCAAGCAGTGCGCTAGCGCAGTGGCGCTTCTAGTTATTCTCGCAACATGGCAACCGACCGATTCTATTTAAATCGAGAAGCCGAAAAAGTTTTGTCGAGAGACATAGTCACATATGTCACCGATATGATATAAAATTGACTTGTATGCTGAAGGAGGCACGTGCGCGCCGTGTACTACGCGTCGTGCGTGGGTGCAATTGGGCACGGGCGAAAACCACAGGGTGCGTGTTAGCGAAATAGGAGGAGACGGTACATAAGTGACTCTTCCGGTCGCGCATCAACATTATGTATAGAAATTAGCGGTATGCGTTTTCCTTAAACCATCACATAGTTTAATATCATCGTCGTGGCATTTTGTCGATGCCTTTACTAATTTAACTACGACGCAGCCTAATTTTCTGCCGGAGAATGACCATTTTAAAAGATTATGTAGTCGTATTCAGATAAGAAATCTATCAAAATTACCACATTTATACTTCAACAGGCTCATGTATACGTATTAGTTTAAAAGTATTCAGGCACGATTCAGATAATAACCAACAGCGTATTAAAAAGCTTTGTCAGGTTCGAAAACGAATGGTCGTAGAAATACAACCGGCCCATTGGCATGAATAACATTTGGCCGGATCAGTCCCAGTCCAGAGGAGTAGGACCCCAGACCCTGTAAAGAGAGAGGGGCAAGAGCCCAAATATGAAGTACGGTAGATAGAGAGGCGAACAGAGATGGAGAGAGATATTAGATAGATAAATAGATAGATAGATAGATAGATATATAGGATAGATAAATAGATAGATAAGATAGATAGATAGATAGATAGATAGATAGATAGATAGGATAGAATAGATAAGGATAGATAGATAGATAAGACAGACCAGACAGATAGATAAATAGATAGATAGATAGATATATAGATAGATAGATTAGATAGGTAAGTAGATAGATTAATAGATAGATAGTATAGATAGATATGATAGATAGATAGATAGATTAGATGAGATAGATAGATAGATAGATAGAATAGATATAAGATAGATAGATTAGATAGATAGATAGATAGATAGGTAAGTAGATA